AAAGGGGCCGTTCTCCATCAGGTGGAGTACGTAGTAGATGTTGTAATGTACCCTGGGGAACGTGAAAAGAAAATAATGACAGGGATGCTGACAAGACTGATATGGGAATTTAAGGTTCTGACACCAGCACCTCTTACCTGTTACTAATCTGAATGTTATTCCGTTTTAAGGCAAGCAGCATCATAGCCATGTGGCTGAGGTACTCAGTGATGGTGGTGTCTGACATACAGCCGGTGAGCAGAGACACCATGGCCTGCACGTCACCAACACTCTCACTTAGGATCAATATGACAGCCATGGCCGCATACGGGTTGGGACCCTGAAGATTGGATACAAATGATGTCAACACCTTAAACGTTAAGTCAAAATCTATAGTGGTACACATTTGTGTATTTGTGCGTGTGAGAGTCATACCTCAATGCCAAGGTTAAAGCATTTCTGAATATCAGGAATACGTAATCTGATGGAGGCCTCAGCCTGAGGAAAAAGACGATGTTTCTTAACACACTCCAGAACATCCTCCGGCCTGACCCACTCTCCAACCTTATGCTGGGCCATTAAACTGACCAAAACACACAGACAAGATTATTACTATAGTGAACATGTTAAAATCTATGCAGACCAGCCCTCCCATACTTTTGTTGTAGGAAATTTAAAATAATTATACTTTTTCCTAGGGCTGTGCGATATGGCCAAAAATGTTATCACGATAAAAAACATTTCATATCATTCAAGATTTTTTCTCCTGAGTGAAAACTGAAGAAACCAGATGGTTAATTATGTGGTTAAACTTTTCTTCTTTTTGATCAGAATGTGACAAACACTTGATGCCAAACAGTGGATCACTTCACAAATCTGAGTCAGAACATTCAAAACTATTATCTTTTTCAACAAATGTGATGAGTTCATCTTTTTTCAGGTCTCTTTTTTCAACAAAATAAATATTTTAATAGAAAAGTTAGATGCTAATTTGTTTGTGATTCAAATGAATTAAAGCAAATATTTATTGACGATATATTGAACATTTATTATATCAAGGTCATTATTGTTTTGTTGCCCAGCCCTACTTTTCCCACACATATGGAGCTCTGATCCACAGTTCAGAGTTTCGTAAATTTCAAAGAAAATAATGACGTGCATGATATTTGTCCAGGTGGAAACAGTAGAAGCTGTGGGGCTTATCCGCCAAGAAGCAGTAATAAAGGCAATGAAAAGGACACAAAGCTGTGAATAATTGTCATAAATCGGGAGTAATATGGCAAATCTGGAGAACTGTGAGCACAGAGTGGAAACTGGCAATGAAAAACAGGAGTCTCCCGTGAAGATCAGCACAGTTGACAAGTATGCCAAGTCTTGCTTTGTTTAAATACTTCTGGCCTATAGGATATTAAATAGATGGAACAGAAGTGCCTTCTTCCATAGATTCTTGCTGGAGGATCCGATGATACTTGCTACGGCAGATACAGTAACATTCGTGGTTTGAACGGAGATGATGGGCACACAGCTTTGTCCGTGTTGGCTGGCTCACCTTTATCATTGAGACAAACCAAAAATACTCCCAAACAGGGGCCTGTGACGTTATCCCCACCACTCGCTCATTTGGGTGTGCGTAGTGAATGTGTGCCTGGGCGAAAGTGAGTGAGTTGCAGGTGAATGCAGCGGAGAAGAGGAAAAGGTGAGCAGTGAAGTTTAGCAGTAAATGTACAGTGTAGGTTACAGTTTGTCAGCAAATAAAGGCAGAAAAGCTCCTGTGTGTTCTTTACCAACTGCTGGAAAAGTGAAGGGGGTTATTGTGTTGTAGATGATTCACGCGTCGTTGCCCGCTTATGTTCAGGGTTAACACTACAATACATAAGCTCAATTCAGCATCTCTGCATCAGTTTTATAGAAAGCTTTAATAGAAAAAGGAGAATCTGTTGTTTTGACAGTATTGAAAGTCATCAGACTAGATTTCTAAAAACCCTGGAATACTGCCCAAGCCTAGATGGTTTGTGAAACCCAGGTCTGAATTGGTATTTGTTGCTACAAAAATGACCCTTATTGAGGAAATGCAGACTTACACAACTAGGTTTCGTATGCTGTGCTGTGATGATGTTGGATTTTTTATTTGGCTGTTCTTCAGGATGTAGAAGATCTCCTTCATTGTATTCTTCTCCCTCATCATGTAGCGGTAGTATTGTTTCTTGAAGGGGACAAACTGCGCAATGGAACACAAACACACATCAATTATGTTCATTTGATTCGCATTAAAATTACCCCCAAGTTTGAGAAGGACTGACCATAAGTGGTATAACTACAATGTCCACCCACAATTGGATAAAATACTCAGTGTAAACACAAAGTTCATCTCTCAAACATGTCCTTTTTCATATGAGAACCTACTGAAGTACACACTTGCCCCCCTTTATTATAATAAAAGATTATTAATTAACTTAATTGCTAATGCATAACTCTGTGGTTTGTTTAACCTTAGTGTCCTGGACGATGTTCCTCCAGCGATGGCAGACAAGGCTGACACTGCGGTAGAGGTCCTGGGCAGGGACTTGGCATAGTACTTGCCTCAGGACCTCCTCTGGAAGGTCATCTATGCAGCCTTGGGGCTGCAGCAAGACCTTGCTGCTGCCGAAGAGCCCATAGTGAGTATCAGGGAGGGCCTCCACCTCCTCTTCTTCTTCTTCCTTGTTGTGAATGTAACCGTCACATCGGTCAAATTCATCATCGTCCCCAAACATCTCTGCAGTCATTCCCTCCAGATAATCCACCACCTCCTCTTGCTTTGTCTCAAGCTCTGGAACCATCGCAGAAGCTAACAGGCTTACATCGTCAAAGTCCTCTTCTTCGTCTGCTTCAGGTTCCGGCGACATTGCGCCAGCTAACAGGGTGAGATCATCTTCGTCATCCTCTTCCTCTTCCACACCCACTGCCTCTTCTTTGGGAAAAAGCTCTCCCCTGAGTCCATTTGTGTGTGTGGACGAGCAGGGCTGGGAGGATTTGTGTGGACTGGACCTGATGACTCCTGTCACAGAGAAGTAGTCGTTGATGCCCTTCTGTTGCCCGACAGGACTTCCTGAGGCAGATGCTGATGGTATGAGGGAGAAGATTAAGAGTCGGAAATTAATTTTTTAAAAGAGAATGGTGAGAAAAAAATGGGCTAGTCAGGACTTTTACTGGACAAAACATTAACTACATATTTTGATGCAAAGATGTTCCCCTGTCTGTTGGCAGTGTTACTTTAAATACAGATTTGTCAAAAGGTTTGTAGAAGAACGTTTACAGCAGATTACCCCACTTCTGTCGCTTGGTGGGTGTCCTGGGGTAAAGCCCTCGATTAGGATTGCGGCCGCCCAGCCCGTGGTTGACGGAGTGGGGCTGGGTGAGGGCATCAGTGCCCTCTGCACTTCGTCCCAGTTCATCACACTCAGCTGCATTCAGGTGCCTCCTTTTGACCTTCCCTAGGAAACCACACAACAGTCAGTCAGCACAACACAAATCATTGTATTGGGAGTGCTCTTTGCAATGTCAGCCATTCTTAAATGTTCCTATCTTCAATGGTATGTACGCTGTTCGGTCTTTAAAGTGCTTGGGTTAAACACCTGTGCCAGTTACGTTTTTATTGTACATCATGTTGTCTAATTACTAACCAGTCCTATGCTTTGATAAGAAGTTGTTTTCCCCTCTTTACTCCACACGGATGAATCTTTCCTCGAGAAACCTTTTAGTGCCAAATCAAATACAAATCTAAGAAGTGTGAATAGGGAATATTAACGGCTATGAAAATTATGAATTCAACACATACTGAAGTCAGTTAAAATGTATGAAAATATAACTTGAAAGTTAGTCATTTCGTCTCCCGTGACTGACACGCACGGTTGAATGTTGACTTACTTTTAACAGCCACCTCCATCTTTGTGTCCAGGGCATCCGTCTTTTAGTAACAAAGATACGTAACTTAATCTAGTTAAAACTTAACTAGTGTTAGGCAGATATGTCGTTGTCGTAGCTTGTACAAAAATACATTGTCTGTCATAACTGTCAGAGCCAGGACTAAATATTAGTAAACAACGAATGCTGCTGGCTTGTGCTAAAATTACTTCCCCCTTCAGTTTGCAACCACGAACCTGTTCAAAAACCCAAATATGCAGCCCCCGTTAATGTCAATTAACTACCGTCAATATTGACGTGTTGTTTTATTTGCCATAGTGACAAATATGAACCGTTGCTTCCAAATAGCCAGCCAGCTAGCTAGGTAGCTAAAATTTAAGTAACTGTCCTAAAGTTTGTGTTGGTGAGGAAGCCACGTGATTGGCTGGCTTCTTCTTCTTTCTTCTTTATTGGCGGAACAAACTAGCTGGGTGCAATATCGCCACCAATTGGACTGAGGTGTGGCGCCAAGAAAACAAAAGGAAGAAGTGCTTTGACATTAAGCAAGTTATTTCTATAAATTAGTATGATATTTGACTCTCTGGTCACTGTCTGGTTCAACATATCCCAAGTTACAAGCAGAAATTTAATTAATCTTGTGGTCAAGACAAAGGAAATGGACCAAAGAGGCAAAGCTGGAATTAACAGGCCTGCTTTGACGAGAGTGTTTTGATGCTGCAGACCTAGATAAAGGAGGAGGTGGCCTACAGAAGTGGGGACAGAATCATTATTCACACCCCTCACCCGCTCTGACTCAGACATAAGACAACCCAATGAACGCCCCACCTTCACTCAGGACCTGTGAAGAGGATGTGTGTTGGCTCTTTCAGAGACAGATAAGGAAGGCGCCACATCCACAAACCCTCTACACTGCAATCATCCAGCCTGTTCTCTGCACATCCATCAATGTCAGGTTTGGATCGGCCACCAACAGACTACAACAGACAATAAGGAATGCAGAAAAATCATAGGTGCTGACCTGCCCTCCATACATCTCCATGTCATAGATTTAACCTCAGGCACATACTCTTTAAAAAAAGACAGTTTGAGGCAGAATCACAGATACGGTTAAGAGCAAAGGTAGTTAGTATCACATTTATTCATTGGTCACAACTTTCTAGTTTCAAGGGTAAGTACAGCATCAATATCCAGTTAATTGCACCATAACGGAGCTGGAGGCACAACATGAATTATTTCCCATCAGTTGCTAACTTTCTTTATCAATACAGTACGACTGTTGTACATTACAGTGGCGTTATTAGAGAAAACACAATTAACACACAATGCTGGAGTTATTTTGTGACAAATGGCTAGTCTACTTCCTCTTAAGTCGGCAAGTGAATTTCTTCAGCTCCCAGAATGCCTTAAGACAAAAGCCAGGAGGAGGATGTGAGCTAGCATGATTTAGCTGTCCATTGCTTTCTGGTTTTCTGTGGTTAGACTGATCTTTCTGTATGATGTCCCTGGTTATTTACCTCTAAAGTTATCCAAAGAAAAAGACGAACACGCCCAACTAAAGGAAGTCGCAACGTTCTTCACCATCAGGAAACACTTTTAAGATGGATTTCTTTCTCCCATCAAGTCAGCGAACAGTATGTTAGTACATATAAAGGAATGTCTCTCAATCACTAAATTTAAAAAAATTACAATAAGCTGCATCTCTTCACACACGGGAATGACTAATTGTCACTTAAGGCATACAAGACAAAAAGCCTGAAACATATTCTGCGTCAAGTGTGCAAACAACTGACGACAGACCACCGGAGTGTGATTCAGGCCTTGAGGTGTGTGGTAGTACCACCATACTGAGGACAAAAAGTGGTCCGCTACATGTAGTGTAAACAGGGCTCCTTCATAGGTTCTGTCTCTAATTCATTAGATTTTTGTGCTTAGTATGATTTACACACACACAGCTGTACTGTGTCTTCTAACTGCCATATTGCTCTGTGGATGGTCATTACACTTCCTAGAAACAAATATTAAAATAGGAGGTTACATGGAGTCTAAAACCAACAAAATTTCATAGAATTTCTTATTACAATTAGAAAGTCCTCTATTTCTTCTTTACAACTAATGTTCCAGTCCTGTGTAGGAGCCATCTGTAACAGAAAAAATATTTTTTTCCCGCTTCACTGCTTCAGTATAGGGAGCTCCCTCGGCTTAAAGAAGGCCTGAACCATGCCCATGGCGAAGATGTACACTTTAGCGTCCACCACGATCTTTTCTTTCTTCAGCAGATCTGCGGGAAATAAACATGCCAAGTGTTAGAGTTGGGCCGGTCTGAAGGCTTGTATGGCTCACATGATAACATCTCTCTGGGAAAAAGTCTCACCATCTATTTTTGTCTGAAATTCGTCAAGAGGCAAAAGAATGACTTCAACAAATTCTGGAAAGAGAGGATTAGAGGCCTGGGTGATGATCTGCTTCATGAGAGACGAGGATTATTTCTGGTATAACAAGAAACATAACTCACCTCCGTCACCTGAGGAAGAACAAAAGACAACAAGATTATCCAACATGATTTTTATCAAATACATTACAGTGGGCATGAGCCTTGTGGCTTCATGCAAAAACATATTCGTAATCTTTTCCTAAATTTCTCTTTTTTCCTGTGAGGTTTCGGGTTAGATTCAGCAAAGCCTGTCACTGTTACCCCCACAAACTTGTTGTAAGTTGCTTGTTTCAACTTGCTGAATGCCACCTGTTTACAAGTAGGTGCACGATTGTGAGTTTTGATCATTAACCTGACACTCCTCATGTGTCAACATGACAACAGTCTCAGTTTTTGTGGAAGTCACACACACTGGCAATATACAGTTATTTAGGCTTATAAAAGGTTTGGACTTTATTCATGACTTGCTCATTAGATTAAGAATTTATTCTCGTAATATTAAAACTGTTGTTTCACAAACTAATACGACTTTTTCTGGAAATGTCTGAACACAGATGTGTGGGAAAGATTCTGAATGTGTGGAAAGTTTTAAACATGAGCAGAAAACCTGCTGAAACACAGGAGCTATGGGGGATGTAGGTTTTCTACCTTTTGAGCAAAAAGGGAATTTCACAGCCCCTTTCTATCTTTAGTTTTTCCTTCATGGTACAAGTTGATGAATGTTAACAGGATAGCAAAATCCTTTTCTACTTCTTCAGCTGGCACACTGTGTGCTGAGCTGATGAAACTCAGGATCAGTAAACCCTACTCTATGTAAAAAAATAACATTAATCATTGGAGGAATGAAAGAGCCAGAGGGGGAATAATTGAACGAGTGAATAAATGAACTGCATGGTGCGGTAGAGAGGCAGTCTTCTCACCGAGCTGTTGCGTTGGGTGGATATTCTCCGTTTCATCTCCGTTAATGTTGACCATGACAATCTGGGTGGTGCAGTTAGACAGGCCGGGGTCCAGGCAGGTCACTGAGATCGAAAAACAATGACATTATTACTTGCCTTTTTGTGTTCAGAAGATAAAAATGAGTATGGGGCTTCTTTACACTTTGCACCGTTGACCCCTGAACCTCTCCAACACACGCAGGAGATAAGATGCAGCCAAGAGAGGCAGTCAACGCAAACAAGTGTACAGCTTGTGTTTGTGCAATGATACCTGGTGTGATTCCTACTACTTCGCCTTTGTAGCCAGTTTCTTCTTTTAGCTCCCTCAGCGCGGCAGCTTCCGCACTTTCGCCCTCGTCAATCAACCCTGAGCACAGCAGAGACAATATGACAGAAAACACAGATAACTATTGGACTTCAGTAGTTAACAAAACATCCCCATTGTGTGTCTGTGTGTGTGTGTGTGTGGGCGGGGGTGAAAATGTTTTGGGGACTAGGGAACAAAAAATACATGATGTGAAAAGTTAGATATCAAATTAAAGAGACTTTTCAATCATTTTCAAGCCCTGTTTTGGTGAAATCCAGGAGCAAAATTGATAAGTTGTGGGGCAAAATGGTGTGTTGAAGAAAGGAACACTTTCTGACCGGCAGGAAACTCCAGTGTGTAGCATCCCATAGGAGGACGAAACTGCTTCACCATCACTACGCAGTCTTTATGGAGCGTCCGTTTCAGCAGGGCAAGGATTCCAACACCTGCAGGAAAAGTGTATTACAACCTGTACAACTCCAATGCAAGCTCGACTGACCAGCTGACGGGAAAACAGAAATAAAAAACGAACAAAAAACACTCACCATCTGCTTCTGTGTTGGTTTGTCTTGTTGTCCTTTTCACGGTCTCCCAGGTTCTGGTGGAAGAAAACTGAGAGTGAAACTGTGCGCAGGAAACTTGTGTGATTGCAAAGTCAAGTCAGTCAAAGGTGGGAACAGAACAGTACCTGGTGTTTCCAGCAGGGTCCACGTACGTCGTATTCTCCAGCTTCACCCATTTTCCTGCTGCAATGAGCTGTGTCACAGAGAGCAAGCACACAGAGCTAAGACGATCTGAATGGCACCAAATGCAACACGCTGCAAGCTGTGAGCTACCACTCTAATAATCTTACTCAACCAACAGTGGAAACTATCTTACAGAGAAGCCTTTCTGCGGTATGCCACAATGGAATTTGCCTCACAAATGCTAAAAAGAAACGAGTCAAATACAATCGTTTTATGAGATAATCTTAAAAATGAAAAATCTTAGGGCCAATTTGGTTTAATTTGTGTAATTAACTTTTGGAAAGCACACATAGCGAGGTGCAGACGAGCTTTGATGCAAGTCCATCAAACTTAATATAATCATTAGCATGGTCTATGATTTATTTTTATTTTTTTAAACTTAGTGAGGGATATCCATGGAGGAGATTAGAGTATCCTGGGTTTTAAAAAAAAATAGGATAATTTTTATTCATTGATGCATTAAGGTAAAGCATTGTGTCTGGTAAAGAATATTTTGAAAAGATAATTGTAACGTGGTATATTTTGTGCAAATTGCTGGATCCACTAGGAGCAAATATTGTATTTTGTAAAAACGTTCTTCAAAAGATGATGGAAACATTCTTTATTGTACTTAGTATTGACAAAGTAATCAATAGGTCAAATGGCTGATTTGATCAAAGGACATAACTAGACGGGATGGGAGGCATCATCCAGCTGGGATTTTGCATTATTGTGCATAGACAGACCAGACCTGATCTCTGCAGAGGTTTTATCATAACTATAAAAGGTAATGCTAAGATAAACCTTTAATAGAAACTGAGTTAACATGTGATTAGGCAGACCTGTACAAGTCCAATGTAAACGACATGATTTGTTGGTGGGCTTTTGTATTAAATTAGATTACATTTTGCAGCTTCAAGTCAGAGTTCATGTGGAGCCTTTTAAGGCTGTTGTCATGGAGATTTGACAGACAAATCCCTAATAAATCACTAATAAACAGAGGTACCTCTTCTTTCACTATGTGAGGAACAGTAGTCATTTTGGGTTCTTCAGAGTTGCTCATTTTCGATCTATGGGCAACTGAAAACAAAGAAAAGTCGGGTCAGAAAGCTTTAAGTTACAACCACCATTGCAATGCTTGTTTCCGATCATGAGTTGCTCAATTAAGTTAGCTGCTACTGAAGGCAACGCTAACCAAGTTCTAACTCTGCTTACAAGTTACATTCCCACAGCTTTTCATTTAGTTTCTTTGTGTACTTTACGGTAGCTAGCTGTTTTACACAAAACAATGACACCAGGGTTCGTCGCTCCTGCATCTTACACTTTAAACAATCATTTAAAACGAAAAACTAAAGTTAACTCACGTGAAATCCCAACCGTGTGTAAGTAGCAGTAGCAGAGATTGTATAGAAGCAGAGAGGAGTCACTCTGCCACTACTTCCGGGTACCGCAGAACGTCACCGGAGTCTAATTTGATCCTGCAGTGACGTGAAAGACTCGTTTTTATCATAGACTGTATATAAAATATACAATATAATCTTTTTTCAAAGTAGAAATCCAGAAACTTACTAATACGTAATATACATACTGCCTTTTGTCTTATTGATAATGTTTACTGATTGTGTTAGCAAAGGAAAATATAGGTTTGTGAATTGGTAGAATGAAGATTGACGGTCGGCCTGTATTTTCTTTAAGGTGCGGAGTGATTGCTCATTTTAATAAACGATCTATGACGCAGCGGGGTTTTACATCGACTACGCCTACACGTGCACCTCAAAAAGCCGTCCCGCTCGAAAAACACAATTTATAACAGAATTATAGCAATAAAGCCTTGATTTCAATCCAATGAGACTTAAATACAATAAAAATAAATCAATACCAGTGCAAATAGATAATAATATTGCCTTGAAATGTGAAAGCATTTCCCAACACAGCAGGGGTTCGGAAGATATTTACTGATGGACTCTTTCCGTTACAGGAAGTTGCAGCATGAAGAAGGAGCAAGTTGTCAACTGTCAGTTTTCGGTTTGGTATCCGATATTCAAGAAACATACGATTAAAAGGTAGACAGCTGACATTTGTGCTGAAATTGTGGGACACACTTTCGTTGCTGTTACTGTAAAACTTAGTAAATTTAGCCAACAGCTAACGTTAGCTGCCAGACAGAAGCAGACAGCTCCATCTCTTGTCTTCTTAAATATCTTAGTTAACTTTATCGTGTGCATCACTAAATACTCTTTTCAGAACAGCTTCCTGCAACGTATCTTTTCCTCCCGCCTCTGTTTGTTTGTTGTTTATTATTTACATGTATTTAATGTGGTATTATTATTATTCTTTATTCCAGTCAGATTCTGCCACTGCCTCAGAATGTAATAGACTATTTACTGGACGATGGGACACTGGTAGTCTCTGGGAGGTATGAGGCCACTGACATACACAAACACACACATATTGTTCAGTTAGCTGTCTTAGACAGTCCTGCACTCATCCAAAATAGACTTAAATCATTTCTTCTGTGTGGGGAAATCCTGTCATTTACAGTCTGTAGTATTTGTACGGTGACTTACTGTGTTTGAGAGGCATCCATGTTGTTATGGTCACACACCGGTCCTTTCTCTTTCTCTTTCTCTTCAGTGACCATAGCACACAGCAGACACATGCTAACAACAGCGACTGGAATGCAGAGGAAGACGTTCAGGTGGGGCAACAGAAACTAAGGTTGCTTGTCCCTGTGAGGCTCTCTTCAGTATTTATCCTGCCTTATTTTGTCTGATCTTTTTAAAAGGAAAGGAGTTTGTCACAATGACAAATTATTTCACATTTTTGCAGGAAAGCTTCAGACCTTTATTGTGTAGATATTTGTGACTGAGTTGATAAAAGGCCAATGCAAAAGCCTAAAGTTAGAGTGTTTTGTGCAGACATTTTGTTTATCTTGGAAATGGAACTGTTTCAGTGACTAAAAAATAGTAAAGATAAGTTAATTCCTCCAGGTAGATACAGAATAGCTCTGAGTGTGAAACAAGACTACTAAAGCACTAAAACTGCACTACAACTGAACTCCTGAAATAGTTTTTAGGTTAACAGCTTTATGCTGACCCACCTCTCACAGTCTCTCAAAAGTAGAGAAACTTTAAGATATTGTACACTTTTAAAGTGTGTGAAATCACACATGAACATCAAATGTTCATTCTCATCTGTTTTCAGAGACTTTTATCTGGGAGCAGTGTCATCACATCATCTTCATTAATTGTCTCTCTTGCTACATTACTTGTAACAGCTTTGCCTAGTGGACAAACAGCCTTCTAGCATCAACACAACAGTTAAACAGTAATTAGAACTGGATTAAATGTTCATTTTCTCTGATCCTGTTTCTTGTTCTCTGTTCCCCTCTAGTGGTCAGATGATGAGACAACCACCACTGTCACTGTAAGCACATTCAGTGTTGCTTATCAACACGCAGTATCTGTATTTTCCACCAAACGTGTTGAATTTATTTCTTACCTGATGATAAAAATATCTTTTTAAATGTCTTACATAAGCTTTAAGTATTCCTCCTCACTTTTATGGCACGTTACTGCTCTCTGCATTTGACTGAAATGTGTCCCATGCTTGTGGTAGGCATATTTAATAATGCTCTAAAATAATTCTGACTGCCATGTGACGATGTGGCCTTGTGTCTGCTAGGCCCCTGAGTTCCCAGAGTTCACTTCTAAAGTGCTGGAGGCCATAAACGCCCTGGGTGGGAGTGTCTTTCCCAAACTCAACTGGAGCGCTCCACGGGTAAAATACTACACTCAGCTGTTGCCTGTTTCATTTTAACGCAGCAGAGTGTTAAAATCATTAGAAAAGTGTGTTGACGTGACTTTTTTTATTTGTAGCATAAGCAAATCATCTGCTGGCTAAAAGCCCTGTACTTGCACTGAAGAACAAGAATTGCTTCTCGTATCACTGGCAGCATTAAGGACTGAACCATAACTTAGCGTGTGTGTGTGTGTGTGTGTGTGTGTGTGTGTGTGTGTGTGTGTGTGTCCTTTTCAGGATGCTAACTGGATTGCTCTGAACAGTTCCCTGCAGTGTCACAGCCTCAGTGATATATTTCTGCTCTTCAAAAGTTCAGACTTCATCACTCACGACCTCACGCAACCGTAAGCCTCACTACCCAACAACATCAGCACGCACATACGCATATTTTGCTTTTAGATGGCAGCTATATATATATATATATATATATATATATATATATATATACTGCTTTTCAATCTGCAGTAAAACACAAGTGGCAGCTGGAGAAATTGCTTATGCCTCACACTTGTCCATTTTGCATGACAAAAACATTGCAGCGAGTGATTTACTACAGCGCGCAGCCTCGGGAAAGCTCCTTCTAAAACTTCTCTCTCAAACTTGCTGAAAGCAAGACAGCAGCCAAGCTGTTTGCAACATGACTGTCATGAATAGAAATTATAAACCCCAAACCCACGTGATGCTACAGAACAGTCACTGACGTTTTTATTTGTGTAACAGTTGTAACTGTCATTCATTTCTTTGTGCAGATTCCTTTTGTGTAGTGACCAGGACTCCCCAGATCCAGTCATAAACTACGAGGTATTTATCTTTCAAAAGGCAAACTGTACACACAACATTGGTACACTTGTCTCCAGTCCCAGTGCCAAATTTCAAATGATGAAATGCAATATAAAATAGAATAGAATACTTTGGTAGACTGGTGTACAGTAGTGATAGAGTGAATAAACTGCAGTGTAGACGTGTTGTCCAGTAATGTAGGATATTTATATGCGTAATGAGAACCATATATATGATGATCTGTATGCTTTTTTCTCTTTCTGTTCTCAGCTGGTCCTGAGAAAGTGGAGCGAGCTGATTCCCGGTGGAGAGTTTCGCTGCTTCGTCAAAGAAAACAAACTGATCGGTAAAACCTCACAGTCTTTTTTTGGACTTTGTCCCCAAACATTTTGGAAAGAATCATAATCATGTACATTTTAAGATATTAGTAACTGTTGTTAACTAAAGGCACCATCACATCTCCGTTGCATTTGACATTGTGAACCACCAAGTCGGATTAGGAGGGGAATGTCCTGGATTGTTGCTGTTTCTACACAGCAGACTGTGCTTAATATGTCTAGTATGGGATTTATGTTTTTTAAAAGCCCTCTATCTTAACAGTGATGTAATGACATTTGAGCTGTACTCAACCCAGCAGGCTCATTTTGGAAACAATTAAAAAAAATAAAATTTGAGCTCCACTGATGGCGTACGTGTCTGTTCCCAGCTATCTCCCCGAGAGACTACACTCAGTATTACCAACACATCTTGAAGCAGCAGGAGCAGATCTGTCACGCCATACAGGATTTCTTCAGCCAGCACATCCAGTACAACTTCCTGGACGAAGACTGTGAGCATCAGCATACTCTTTTCTTCTTATGCCTGTGTAAAGCTGTACACCTCCTTCAGCTCGCCTCAGACAGATTCAAGTCATTAAATATTTACGGCCAAAAACAGGATATTGGGACAGGAGAAATACAGGGAAACATTGATCTAATGTTTACTTCATTGTGATTAGAAAATATAATATCGGGTAGCAATAAATGATTCTCATATTTTTTTTCTTTTTAACTAGCACATGCATGTCTATAATGTAAGTGTTAAATTACATACAGTTGTTTTTTCTGTTTTACAGTTGTGTTTGATGTCTACAGAGATAGCCAGGTAAGCACACTGATGAATTTCCATATTGTCAGTTTTCACAAATGCCTTTTGCAAACTGAGTTGCACTTATATATTTTGTGGGCGTGCGTGTGTTGCAGGGGAGGGTGTGGTTGGTAGACCTGAACCCGTTCGGAGAGGTGACAGACTCGCTGCTGTTCAGCTGGGAGGAGCTGACGTCCGGTGGGGAAATCACCCAGCAGCAGGTCAGCCGTCATGACACACGTTCTGTTAGAAAACATATTCCATCAGTCAAAACTGAAAAGAGTAACTGTGGTTTCTCTGTGCGTGTAGGAACGCCCGGCGTTTCGCTACACCACAAGCGAGGTGACGGTGCAGCCCAGTCCCTGCCTGAGCTACAGAATCCCACGTGACTTTGTTGACCTCTCAACTGGAGAAGACGCCTACAAACTCATTGACTTTCTCAAACTGGTAGGATGTTGTTTTGGAACTTTTTGTTCACGGGAGCGTTTAGCTAGCAGTTGTTGTGCAGATGTTGTTGCTTAATAAAACGACAGAATGCTGGGGTGGTATTAGCTCTCATCATGTCGGGGTGGTAGATGGGCAGGAGGTCACGTGGCGTCACAGACCTGCAATAACATTTGTCTGTTTGTTAACTGTAACCACAGTCCTTCTATAACTATGAAATAAGTGTTTTAGTTGCCTGAGCCTGACAATAGCTTAAACATAGTTCAGTTTCTGTATCCCTAAACTTAAAGTTGTAATGCTGAAGATTTTCATCAGTTCAAAAGTTATGGTTGGCATTTATTCTGCTTTAGTAATTAAATGTATTTACACTCATTAGTTACCTCTTTTATTTAGTAGTTTGCATTGTCAGTGGCATGGTCCACCATTCCCATACTGGTTTCAAATGGTGTGATTGTGCACAACGAATTGAGAGTAAACAAAGCATGTACATACTGGATGAAATTCACTTAATTTGAGTGTCATTTCAAATGGAACTCTGTTGCTCGTGTTTATGAAGACATTCGTAATGTTACCACCAGTAATGCTGGGTGTCCCCAATTCAACAAGAACTAAAATCTTACGGATTATGATGAGTATCAAAAATGTTGACATTGAAGTTAATCCTGGGTTGTGTTCATCGCAAATCTAAATTCAGAAGACACCCCCCCCCCCCCCGTACTCAAGCTTGGTGTATCTTGAAGTTTAATTTCTTCTCCCCTCCCTACAGAAGAAAAGCCAACAGGAAGATTCTGAGGAGGAGGAAGAGGAGGAGAGCGCTCCACGGCGACACGTTTCCTCTGAAACCTGAAGAATAGCTGCTAGTGTCAACGGCCCTCCATATAGTGTTTTCTGTATGAAGTCACTCTCTACCCCCTGTCCTGTATGAGCTCATTTTCTATTTCAGCCTGTTTGCTTTCACACGCCTCTGTGAACAGTACGTGGTGTACCCGGGGTTTCCCAAACGGCTCTCTCGTGTTAGTCTAATGGAACATGTTAAATTAGCAGATCACGTTAACGGCTTTTTGAGAATTAATTTTCTGTTGAGTTGTTCTTTGCCTCTGTCTTGGTGATCGTTATGACTCGGTGAGACAGAGGGAGGCCTCTGCTGTGTTTTTCACTTTAGGGGGATTTTTTTTTTTATGGAGGGTTTCTGCGAGGGGATGTATTGACTAACACTGTAAAGCACGCCTGCTTTTATACTTTAGTTAATGTATCTATATTGCATCCCAAATTGTGTCTCTTGATGTAGAATGAACTAGTCCGCACACACATTTCATTGTACCTCTGTGTTTGTGTGTTACGGGGCTGTGACAGACTTCTTTATTTAACACTAAAGCCATTCATCACTGAGTCACCTTTAATTTTTCTTCCAAGCTATCCCTGCTCCTCCATCTCTCCCTGCCAATTTCCTCTAAGCAGTTTCGACACACTCATCTTTCCGAGCCGCTCCAGGCGCTCTTTTTGAGTCCAGTTCTCCCATCATGCATCGCTGTAGACTGTTGCTCCAGAAAACACCATTAAACTTCTTGTCGTGTATTGGCTCGGCTGTCAGTCTGGTGGGTGCTGTAAACTAGCACATTCAAAATTGATTGTGCTTTTACGCAACAGCTCTCATTACGCCGGGAGCTAAATGAGCTGTGTGTGCACGACGCAGGGCAGTTCGTTTTGGGTTGCTGTTTTTCTTTTTCTTTTTTTTTCCTTCGCTGAATTGAGACAGCAATTACAGGGAAATGGAAAGATCTGGTGTGATGAGAGTTACAGCTCCCTGGGTGAAACGCTGTGTGGATGAGAAACGGTATACAAGGTGCATATTGTGGGGAATGTTGCACATTAATCATCATTATAAAAATGAAAACTGGCTGTAAACATACCAGTCAGACCTGGAGGAGGTGGATATCTGTACACCGGGTTAGGCGCGTTTAAGACAAACCAGTGTAGCAACGTTTAAATGGCTGCTCTTAATAGAGAATCATACTTTCCCTGTGCACTTAGTTTGCTGCAGTGCCGGTAAATACAAAGCTTAGCCAGTGGTGAACTCCATTTTTTTTGAAAAGATGTACAAGCTGTTGCAAATTTATTGGGCACACTTTGCTAAAATTATCCATCCATCTAAAACTGCTTATCCTGTGTACAGGGTCGGGGGTTGGGGCTGTAGCAATCCCCAGCTGACACAGGGTGAAAGGCGGGATACACCAAGGACAGGTCGTCAGTCCCTTGCTAAAACTAATGCAGTATAATACACAGACCTACTATAAATCCTAACATCATGAAGGTTATAATGTTCAGTTTTTGATTTGAGGAACTGTTTTACAGAGGTGTCTGTTTCCAATTAGTGGACAAAATATTAGAAATACCTTAATACAATGCAATACTATTAATTTATTGCAGGGCTGTTCTATTATACTGCATTAGTTTTAGCTACGTACCTAATAAATAAACAGGCTACTCAGTGTATTTTCATCTTAAAGCTGCGCTAATCAGTATTTTTATTAGAACAGTGGGTCAAAAATGTGTATATATAAGGGGGCACTCATTGTAACAAAGCCTCAGAGAATTAGGCTATCACCCGACTGCACTTTCCTTCACCTCGTCTTTCAGCTCATTATTTGGGTTTTCCAGCCAGGTTTTTTCGACAGGTTTAGTCTCACCCCCCTGATTAGCATTGTTTTTTAGGCTGCATTCACCTGTATAACAGCATAATATATCAGTGTTTGGGTTTCAGCTTGTTGCGTTAAATGGCCAGTCAGTTAATGCAGGCTTAAAGAACTTGCTTACTTATGCTGCATTAATAGGGCTGGATGATAGGGCCCAGATAACAAATATTCATGAGTAAAATCTTTTTTCAGTCCCTTTTCCTCATCAAAATAAGAGGTAGAAGTGATTTTTATAGGGTTACGGAGTAAAATCTGTAGGTGGAGCCAAAGAACTACTGTCTCTGAAGCTAAAAGCCTGATGAAGATAATAGAGAAATCAGAAATGGCCGATTGACCAGACCTTTATTTGTCGAAGAGCGCCACAAAGAAGCCTCTCCGTCAGGTAAATTAAGAGTAGAAATATTGCTTCTTCTGCACCTGTTGTTGCGGTTTAACCCTACAAATTAGTTTATTCTTCTGGGAAACGTTGGAAGTTCTTTAGTCAGCCTTTTTTGCAGGACACCTTTTGACTTGTCATTGAGAGCAAAGCACAGGTGTTACTTATAACAGTGACTCCATAGTCCGGACTATTCAAGCGTCCCAATAAGCAGTGACAGGGAGCTAGCATGCACAACACCGGGACTTCAGCTGTCATCTATTTTACTATTTACAACAGAGCTTTTCTCACTGACATGTCAAAATGTCTTCTGAAAAAAAAAAAAAGTATAAGACCTATGGTGTGGGGCTGTGACCTGAGCTGCATCTTGATGGGCTAATGAGCTCTCCGTTCACTGTAGATGTGTAGGTACCAATCTGATCTGTCAAAGTAACAATATCCCGAGTATTTATGGTATAACAGAGTCATTAGAGGACATGTGTTGACATAATGTAGTGCATCATGACACAGTTTTTCATGAACTAGTATCTGCTGATAAATATAATCTACAGACTGCTACAAAACCTTTTGTCAGTTACATTTGCTCAGTTATAGCAGCTGTCAGTCCAGAGTAATAGCCTACACCTGATAAATGTCCCTTGTGCTCTAAGCAATCTGGAAGAAGCTAATGATACAGTTCATATGGATGGCTTCAAGTGATGACACTTTTGGTGTAAAGAGAAATAGATATAATTTTCTCACCATACAGCAAAACAAAAAAATCCTGTCCATTGGTTCTTAGGCTCCACTTATTCCGTAGCCAAAGAGATTATTTCTGTGTGCACGCTAAAATATGGCAGTGCTTAAGCTGCAAACAGGGAGTCTGTACCTTCGTCTTCCTTGACCTTCATCCTCTTTTCAACCATCTCTCTGGTGTCCTCCTCTCCTCCTCCTCCTTCCTTTGCAGCTGGGTAATCATCTTTCATCAGGGGGGAGGTCAGATTTGCTGACTCAGAGCAAAGGATGAGGAGGTGAGGAGGGAGGGGGAGCAAGGAGAGGAGTTTTCCTTGGTTGCTGCTGAGGAAGAGCTGCAGTAGTTTGCAGCCGGAATACTCATGAGCAGCTAAGGCTGCAACACATTGTCCTCCCCCACTCTGTCTGTGTCTCCCTACAGTATTGCATACACACAAGTAACAGGTCTGGACCAGCGTGTGTGTGAGTGGGTGTGTTGTGAGCAGTGACACGGCCTGAGCTGACCTCAGCGCCTGCAGCTGTCGGAGTCCGGGGGGATCAGTGCTCCTGCAAGCTGAAACTTCGTAATCCAGGTTATGTGGCCCGGTTAAACCCTGGTGAACGTGCAGCTGCAGGCCGGGGCTGATCCCTGGCCGGCTGTGCTGTGCCACACCGACGCCTTTGGGGATCCCAAATGGCGATGGGGGCATATGGCGGCTGTTGTCAGCAAGTTGGCGCATTGCGAATTTACTGCTGCCACGTCCTGGCCAGACACACACACACTAACCTCTTTCCATGTCGGACAGGATGCATAAGCAGCATCACTTTTTTGCCATAACATGCACTGCCACAATAAGGCTCGGTTTTAGGGTAGTTATATAGTACAGTTAAGGGAGTTTACAGGAGAAAACGATGATTTTTAACGCATCACAGTGCTCGCAGATGAGAGGAAACCCCGAATACGTGCTGCCAGTTCAGCAATTAACGGCGTTTAGACAATTGCAGGTGGCAGGAGGTCCGTAGTCAAGCTGGACAGAAGTAACCAGCGTGATACAGGAAATTGGAGGATATTTCCTTCAAGATAAAAGCACAGCAGAAATTGCGAATTGTTTTAAAAATAATTGAAAGTAAAGATAGCTGTGAAGCTGTGAACTGTGAAATCGTTACACTAAATAGTTAACAGAACAATAGTTTAGGAGAAGCGTAATTGCTTATAGAGGTCATTTAGGTGAAAGTGAGGTATCAGTTGAATTTGACTATTGAAATAACAGAAATTTCTTTAAATACTGAAACCACTATTAGACCGCAACCCAATTAAACTTCCTGTAACACTACCAGTAGGAAAATCCCCTAAATCTGATCTCGTTTACATTTCTGAATACATTTGTGTATGTTTTAGTTTTGTGTGTGTGTGTGGGGGGGGGGGTTAGTTTGTTCTTTTTTATTATATATAAATCTTATTAAAATCACTCCCGACAGTTGAGCCTAGGCTACTCTTAAGTTTCTTACTTTGATCTGACTGTTTCTGTTGTTCTGTCGGCAGTTTTCTTCAAGTTGAAAAATGATCTAAAATTTCTCTAAACAAACATAACAAATAATACAGGCTAACGTCTCCATGCTCGCTGCTACGGCAAGTTAATCAACAGGCTTTTATTTTAAAAAGCACCGACGAGAAGTGCTGTCATCTGCTCGCTAATTTGACAGCTGCTGTCCAGACTGCCGGAGGCGAGGAGGGGGAGGAGAGAGAGAGAGAGAGACAGAGACACAGAGAGAGAAGAGGTATAGGAGGGAGGCAACAGGGACGCGGTAACCTGCAGGAGGACTCACATGGTCCTGCAGCAGCGGAGCACAGACCGCCAGGACTCTCAGAACCTCGCACACTCAGCTCCGCGTCGTCCCTCTATCTGAAATATTCCTGTCGTTTTTATTTTGTTTTTTTTTTTTTCTTATTCACATCCCTCTTCCCAGTGTCGGTCGGTATCGGGCCGGTAAAGCAGCGCCATGGCTCGGGAGAACGGAGAAGCCGGCAGAGGAGAGGCGTGGAAAAAACAAGTCGACGATATTAAGAAGATTTTTGATTTCAAAGAAGTCCTCGGCACGTGAGTACATCTGTGTGACAGTCCCGCTGGGCTTCAGTGTCCACAGTTAACATGTGACCTGGCAATAACAGGCTGACAGTCTAACAATGACATTACCATAGGGACTGAAAGTTTGAAACATTACTTTTAGCTAACTGTTTGAACTGTAAACACGTCAGTTACGCTATATCAACCGTTCATCTATGTATCTACTTCGCCTGTGTGTCCTTTACTTTCAGCGAATTGTGTCAACCATCCTAGTTTTCACACAGTCCCAGTCGCAAAACACATTCTGTTAAGATGTTAACAGCTTACCCAACATACTGATGTTTATTTAGTTTAATAGTAATTTATTTTTTTTCCTTTTCCTTTTATTTATTTATTTTGTTCTGTTTCCAAATGAGTTGAGCTATTCCACAATCTTTGAAAGTTTCCCTGGTAGTCCTGGTTGGGAATCACTGCTTTATGGTGTCATTACAGCAGGTGTAGCATGTTTGTAATGTTTCGAAAATAACTCCTATTGAGTTCTTTACTTGGTATAGTAGCCACATTCCTAAATATATATTACATATATAAATATTCCTAACACAAATTCCTACATTTCTAATCCAAATGTATTCACTTTGCCTACAAACTCCATGCAGCAGTATTCATAATGTTTGTTAGTGTGTGCAGTATGCCATCATGGATTTATGGCAGTTTCATAGTTGACCTCTGAGCATTGCATCTCTCATGCCCTGACTAATATTCCTGTTATGTTCCTTGATTTAAATCTGTTCTACTGGATGTGGTGTTTATAGGGACAATGATTTAGGAATAGTGTGGTTCCTAAAAGTGAGCTTACAGTGCTTCAGTGTTTGTTTGCTTTTGGCACATTCTGTAATATTCCAGGAGGGGATTTTCTTGCTGGCTTTAACAGACTGCAGGAATTTTGGTCTCTCTGCAGCAGCAACAGTATCGCTGTCACCCTCACAATCTTTTTCTCGTTGGAATCAGACTTTTCTCTTTCACGTGGCGTCATAAAGGAGGTTTTTACTCTCCGGCTCCATGTTAGGAAATGTCTTCTCGTCCTCAGTTCTCTTCCTCTTCTTGCTCCTTTTCCAGTCCTTCCTCTTCCCTCTCCTTCTCATTCAAACAGCAGCAGAATACAGATCGACACCCTGTAAGCGTCTGTCCGCCTGCTATGTTTTTCCTGCTCGGGGGGAATGAGCTACGTCTGTTTGGACGGCAGCCCGGAGGGGGAGACACGCGGGGCGACGCAGATTGGGATTAACTGCGCGGGGATTAGGAAAACTTCCTCTGAGTAGAAGGAAGTTCAGTCATGTTGTGTAATGACGGAATTAGGATGGAGGTTGAGGTCTGGGGGATGTTTCTCAGAAACACCGTAAATTTGGACCAGATATGTGAAACACACACGCAGACACACGTTTAGGAAGCAGACTGGTACAGGACTCAATGATCCGAGTCGGCCATGTTGTAGCCACACATTAACCAGAGCTGCTGACAGATCTTTGAACCTGATGCATCAGCAGAAAAAGGGACGGGGGCAGTGTAGGGATGTGCAAGATGGGAAGGTGAGTTGCGATTAGCATGGAAAAGCAGGATGAGGGTGAGGAGGAAGAAGAGGAAGAGGAGAGACGGTGGCGATGACTCAGTCGGGAAACAGATGAGACTTTTTATCAGCGTGATAAGGCGAACAGAGTAGGGATGAAAGCAGCAGTCTGGAACCAATCCAAAATGAGTTGTCCGAAATGTGCCAGTTGATTGGATGATCAGCCAGAGACACATTGTGAGCAATAACAGTGAAACTAACAGAAATACAAATTTAAATGTTTGCAGGGTGAACAATTCAGTTTCAGCAGCAGGAGCATTGTGTTCAAGTGCAGCAGCACACGTGGGGAAACTGAAGCTTAAACCTAGTGTGCGTGGTGCTGCAGTGCTGAATGTTTCTGCATCAGCGTTTCAGAGCTGCATCTGTGCTGACAAGATTTGATGTCACAGTTCTGACCCATCATATTTTGTCTCCTCACACTGGGTCACCCTTGCATACTTGTGTGTGCGTTTGTGTGCACGTGCGTGTGCACTTAAACACCCCATCTGTTCTGGGTGAAAATACCCTTCCTCCATCCCCTGATACTGGATCTACTGTGTGTGTGTGTTTGCCAGCATGTACATGAGGCTCTCCTCTGTGTCTTATTACCCTCCCCTGGTGTGTATTCTGTGTGTGTCCCTGTTGCTCCCTGTTCAATAATTCAATACCAACAGTAGTGTGTTCTTTGTGTGAGCTTGTGTGAGTCTCAGGTAGGCCACAGCTCTCAGCAGGAGAGATCCCAGTAAGAGCAAGTGCAGGAGACGGACAAAAAAAGACGAAGAGAGGAGGCTCAAGAGAAAACAGGACAGGTGTGACACAGTGTTTGCCAAAGTTGGGATTCATGATTTAGATGCTGGGTCAAGGCCGGAGGTTAGGGGCTAAATGGACACACAGAAAGGTCTTAGCTCCTCAGAAAGTGTGCGTGCTAGTGTGTGTGCAAGTAGGGACAGAAAGTAAAGTGGTGGCCGTGACGATGTTGCATTGTGGGAATGTCACTGTGCCATCTAGGGCACGCTGCCCTTAATTGATGCTCTACTTCCCTGCTGCTGGCACTGTTCTCTCCGCTGTTTCTGGGACTGCAGAACCCAGCCCCCCTTTATGTCTTCCTATATCATAATTTATGTCTGCAGACCTGTCACACATCCCCCTATGTATCCCTGTGTAAAACTCAAACAAGCTTATTTATTTATTTTTTTGGGATGCCTTTTTTGCACAGTGCAGTGTCATAATGCAGATTTGAAAGTTGCTATTGTTTTAGCCCCGTTATAAATAGTGTCTTATAAATAGAACAAAAGAGGATTGTTTGCTATGTGACACAAACAACTTCATCAGTGGACTGTTAGCCGTTTTTAACAGTTTGTGCGTGTGCCTGGATGTGTAGTGCTGTTAGAGGCACAAGCATACGTGTGTTTCTAAGCTTGTGCCTGCGTGTGCACATTTACAAACACACACTTTACCACACTGGAGTGAATTTTGAATGCTCACAGTATGTCGACGAGCTTCTCCTCTGTCTATCCATCTGTTCCATCCTCTTCTCTTTTTCTGCCAGTTTCTTCTTCTGTTGAGTGCTTCTCTCAGCCTGGTAAACTGGGATTGTTGTTGTTGTTGTTCATTGATGTTTGTTGTTGCTGCTTATGACCATGTTGCTGGACTGAAGCAGTTGTTGCCCCTGTTGTTGATGGCGTAGGAGATGCCATCCGCAATGATGTTTGTTGGCATTGTTGACACTGCAGATGTATGTCAACAGGCATATAGTCATATTGGTTGCTGTTGTTGATGACAGGGGAGTTGGAGGTGGGCGTGGCCTCCAGTAAACTTTGTGCAGCGGTGTTCACGAGAGAGAGGGAGGGGGAGAGAGAGAGAGAAACAAACAAAGCGTCTCTCCCGACTTTTTAACTAATATCATATTCAACAGCAGCAAGGACTGTGGTTTTTACAAAGCATATAGCCTAGGCCTGTTTCTTTACACCACCGGCTGAAAAAATAAATAAATCACGTAAATCCCGACTTTTAAACAGCCGTTTTACTGCACATGTAGCCTGTTTATAAGAGAAGTATTCAGTTGTTACAAAATGTTATGTAAATGCCACTCTCTCCTGACAAGTCCAGCATCAGTGACAGCAGCTGCCAAGTTTCTTCCTGTAAGTTTCACGTTGCTGTGTTGCTTCAGCTGATGCTTCAATAAATCAGATGTAGAAATGTTTCCGGTTGAAAGCTTACACCAGACAACAATGTTCTTTGCATCTTAGACTGTGTAATGGGAATTTCATGAGAACCTTCTTTAAAACACTTCCATGTAACTAATCTCACTAGGGACCTCAAGCCTCTTGACATAATAATGGCAGTAGCTTCTTACAGCTGTGGAAAGAACGCCTCTCTCCCTTGTTCTACATTCTTCCTTTAGTTTTGGCTTTCAGCGGACATCAACAACAAAGTCCGGTCCAGCTGAGCTGTCTCACAGTCGTGGATTCACATCAAGGATGGTGCGTTTAGTAACGAGTAACGCAGCATTACTTGCCTTAGTAACTAGTAATAATATTACTGTTTTAGAAAGGTAATTAGTTACACTACTTAGTTACTGGGAAAAGTAATATTATTAATAATTAATAAGCTGTATTTCTCACTGTGAGGAAGAGATGGTGAACTATTCAACATAAAGATTAACTAAAGCATTGCATCCCTTTGTAAGATGAAATGCTACATTAGCTAGCAAAATAGCAAAATGTTAGAAAAACAGAAAACCCACAAGAAAACTACTAAAAAATACAATCATCAGACAGACATCCGATATCGTGTCACAGACGGACTATCATATCACGTAATATCAGATATCTGAATTGGATTTGTTCATCTCTAGCTATAACCTCTAGCTATAATCAAAACTTGGGTTTAGTCAAATGTTTGGGGACGGACAGGAGAGGATTCAGGATTCAGGTTTCGGGACAACTGCTCATAATCCAAGACTGGTCAGCGTAGTTTTGACGTTTACTTTCATGATACTTAAGTTGCTATTCTTTGTTTGGCTGTTGTTGTTGACTTTGTTATGGCAGCTGTCAATAAATGTACTCACACTGCTATTAACGTTGTCAAATAAAACGTGTTATGTTTGTGTTAATGACTTTGCAACAGGCTTGTCCCGATTTGCAATTGGATCCGCTATCGACGATTGAAGGGATGATCAACAATTAGTGACAGAGATGACATAAAAACTGTCTCTAGAATCTGCACCACGCTGCAGTGTTTCCCATTCACTGATTTATTTGTGACACAACGCCACACCACGCCGCAATAGTTATAAGCAAGCATGTAAGGAGCATAGCTAATAAGGATAGCTGTGTTAATGTTAGAATACAGCTGAGTTGTCGAGGTTAGCTTGCTGTACATACAGTGGGTACGGAAAGTATTCAGACCCCTTTAAATTTTTCACTCT